TTCGAGTCGCTCGCTCTCTTGGTTATATTTCATATGACGGAGGAAGAGTGCGAGTCTATCGCGTCGGATCCGGGTCGGGTCGGGTTTATGACCCGATTGCTTTTCGATTCCTCGATTGAAGTTAGGGTAAACGCCGCCGCGTTGATAGAGATGGTGTTGACCGGATCGAAATCGACGGATCTGAAATTGGTAATCTCCGGTTCGGATTCGGTTTTCGAAGGCGTTCTCGATCTTCTGAAAAACCCGATTTCGTCGTCGCGACGAGCTCTCAAAATCGGAATCAAGGCGCTTTTCGCTCTCTGCTTAGTGAAACAAACGAGACACCTCGCGATCTCCGCCGGAGCTCCGGGGATTTTAATCGATCGTCTCGCGGCGGATTTCGATAGGTGTGATACGGAGCGGGGATTAGCGACGGTGGAGCTTCTTTGCCGGTTGCCGGAAGGATGCTCGGGTTTCGGAGAGCACGCGTTGACGGTGCCGCTTCTGGTGAAGACGATCTTAAGAGTGTCGGATAGAGCGACGGAGTATGCGGCGGGAGCGTTGCTGGCTCTGTGCACGGCGGAGGAACGGTGTAGAGATGAGGCGGCGGCGGCGGGATTGGTGACGCAGTTGCTGCTGCTGGTGCAGAGCGAGTGTACGGAGAGAGCGAAGAGGAAAGCTCAGATGCTTTTGAAGCTTCTCAGGGATTCTTGGCCGGACGATACTCTTGTTAACTCCGACGATTTTGGTCGTAGCGAAGTGGTGCCGTTTTGAGATTTTTTTTTGTTTTTACCCTTTTCAAAAAAGTTGTTTATTCTTTTTTCGTTAGAAATTTAAAGTAGTCGTAATCATGTAATTAATTTTTTTTTAAATGTTTATTAATAGACAATAGTCTTTTTCTTGTTAATTGTTTTTCTTAGCTAGTTATTTTAGTTGGAAAAGTTTTTCAAAAAGGAAATGAAAGCGGCTAAAATCATTTTCTTTTTTTTTTTAAAACGAAAAAAGCTAGGTAATTCTTCTCTGTCTCTTAATTTTAATTGTTATTTAATTTTAAACTGGCAATTAATTCTTCATTCTTCTTCTACTTCTCATTCAAGTCGTTTGCAAAGACTCCTTATTTAATTCTTCTCCTTGAAAAATTAAAGCTGGCAACAAAACTTGAATTTAACAACAGAATACTAAGAGAATCAGCCGCTTACAAACTCTCCAAGGTAGCCATGACCAGAGGTTTGCAGCATTTCATATTTACCCATGGTAATATTTGGTCCTATATCTGCTATCCAATTTAACATTTTTTCTTTACTCTTGATTCATTGCCGGGATTACCTTGAGCAAAACATTAGACCTAGAATAGAAATCAGCAGCGATCCCATCTTCCATCTTAATATCTTATTGTATGCTCTTTAGCATATGTATGTACATTTTCATATAACATCTCTCTTTACTACCTTGGCTGAGTAAAGAAATTTGTCTTCCTTAGTAAGTTTGAACACTGGCCTACTTCCTTGTGATGCAAGATTCAGGGGGGCGCGTGGTTCTGCATGATCAGAGTCAATGTCAAATTACGGGTAACAAGTAAATTAGCTAATGAAATTCGGGAATTGTTTGCTGGTTCGGTAAACAATGGGTTCTGCTCCATCGCCGACTCCGAGACACGTGCCGGTTCCGATGTGTTGCGTCAGAGAGAAGAATTAATTAAGGAGTCTTTGCAAACGACTTGAATGAGAAGAAGAAGAAGAATAAAGAACAATTTTTCAAGGAGTTTTGCTTAGTGTTGTGAAGGAATTCGTATTTTTGTTTTGTGGAAAATTTTTGTTCTACGTAGTATAGTCATGTCATCTATATTCGGTAGCTACTATTGTAATTGTAAAAAAAAAATCCAAAATTATAAAAACTAATTTCTTATTTTTCGATTCTTTTTATTGCTATATGTAAGTTACTTTTCAGTCAAGTTACTTTCTCTTCTGTAATTTTCGTAGTTTAAACTGATTAAATTCTTTGAAAAAATTTTATTAAATTCTTATTCATCTTATACTAATAAAAAATTCAGTATAATTTTTTTATTGGTCCACTTCAACATTGAAAATTAAAAAGTTTACAAATTCTATTATTGTTATTTAAAAAATTATTAAAGATAAATAAATTATATATAATTTATATTAATAATGAAAAACTAAAATAAAGAATATTAAAATAGGAAATTTTAAAATTTAAATTAGATGTCTACACATATTTAGAGACTCTTGCATTAACATCCAAAAGTGTCCACATAGGATTAAAAAAGACAATTCTATTGATCCACATCAACAATCAAAAATAAGGAAAGTTTACAAATTTTTAATATTATTGCTAAATAAATAAATTAAGAAAGTTTACAAATTCTAATTATTGCTGAATAAAAAAATTCTATAAATTTTTTATTGATCCACCTCAACATTGAAAATTTTTTTTTTTTTCAAATTCCATTATTATTTTTAAAAACTATTAAAGATAAAGAAATTATATATAAATTTTTTGTTAATAATAAAAAAACTAAAATAAATAATATTAAAATAGAAAATTTTCAATTTAAATTAGATGTATATACACATATTTAGAGATTCTTACATTAGTATCCAGATTTTTGTCATATAACTATAATAATTTTTAAGTTTTTTTTTCTGTGTGTACAACCATTTCAAATTAAAAAAAACACAAAAAAATAGAGTTAGGTTTCACAAAAAAATGAGTCATTACAACGTAAAATAATCAACTTGTCTAAACTATAAGTTTAACTATTAGCTAAATTAAAAAAAAATATAATGAAACGAGATATAAACAAAACCATTACAAGTTGTTTTAATATCAAAAAAGAGACTGAAAAATAAGTTTGGTCACCGAATTTGAGAAGAATGATAAATTTCAAGCAATCCGAGAAACATGTCAAGTGATTGATACTCGACACTTTTAAAAAACAAAGCACTGAAAATAGAGAAAGAGGTTCCGTCATTAAGACGAAGGAGATTAAGGTATTTGAGGAAGATTTTTGAAATAACATGGCATCTGATACGGTTTTAACAACCTAACATTAAGCACAAAAGTAATTAGCTGACCAAGAAGCATCCAAATACATTCGGTAAGCCTCAAAAACAAGGAGGCGAGATCAAAATCATGACACTTTTGAAAAACGAAGCACTGAAAATAGAGAAAAAAGTTCTCTCATTAAGCCGAAGATTGAGGTATCCGAAGAAGATTTTTGAAATAACATGGCATCTGATGGGGTTTTAACAACCTAACATTAACCAAAAATGTAACAATTAACTGACCAAGCAGCATGCAAATACATTCGGTTAGCCTAAAAACAAAGAGAGACCATAATCACTTGCTTTGTGTTGGATCTTCCAGCTTTGATTTCTAAATCTATTATTAAAAAAAATTAAAAGCTATATGCCTCTAAGAATGTCAACATATGATGTAAAAGTTCAATTTGATTGGTTAACATCAATATTTAAAATTAGAAAAAAAATTCAAAATTTAAAATTATAAGGTTAACAAAAAATATGTTTATAGAAAAATAAATATAGAAGCTATATGCCTCTAAAGACATCCACATAAGATTTAAAAGGTCAATTTTATTAGTGTATATCAATAACTAAAATTAAAAAAAATTCTAATTTATAAAATTACATTGTTAATACAAAACAATATAGAAAAAATTGTTAATTAAAACTATTCTATTATGAATAAAAATTAAAGTTATGTTATTTTCAAGCCATCCACATCAGCATTTAAAAATTAAAATTTATTTGTATATATCAAAATTGTAAATTTTTAAAAAAAATTCTTAATTCTATTAAGAAAGTAAATTAAAGAATAAAAAATCTCTAATAATAAAAAAACATGATATTAAAATCTTCATTATTACTGTTTAAATTATAAATTCAATTTATTATCTATAAAACTATATACTACTTATACAAGTTTATGTTACTTGGTTTTAAGGCTTTTCATTTAGAATTTTAAATAACTAATAATTATAATTTATATTAATTTTTTCACATATGCAAAACATATTTTTCTACATAATCTCATGTAATATATAATGCAAAAATGATCGAAAATTTTATATTTTGTATATTCGGCTTGGAATTGCAATAGATTAATGTAGAAGTTTTTAGTTTTGAGGATTTCAATTTGTTATTTCATTTTTCTAAATTTATGTGTATTAAATTGTACCGACTGCCTACTTAAATATAATTAAAAGAAGTAAGATTGAATATGATGAAACTGAATATAATCATCTAAAAATCATTGAAATAAATAAATATGATCTATTAGTTGAAAAAATAGATATAACAAGAATAAAAATGAACATGATGAAAAAAATTCATTCTTATTAGAATCAATGACGTATAATAATTGAAAAATTATTTAAACGTTTATACAACCAATTGATAAATATATATTTAATTCAAAAAATTTGTATGATTTTCTTTATTTTATATTCAAATAATATTTTGGTTTCAAATTTAAAGTTGTTATTAAACTCAAAGCAAATATTTTATTTATTAGTTTGTTTTTTAAATTAATATAACAAGATAAAAATTTGTATCGGTTAAACAAGAGAAGAAAAAAGATTAAATTTTAAATTTTATTATTGTTTTTAAAAAATACATATATAATTGGAAGAAAAGTGAATGATGAAAAAAATTATCTTCATGATTTAAAGAAGTAAATGTATAATATTTTATCATCATGTCAATATTATGTTTAATAAGTACCATTTGACTAATTTATAAAAAAAATTTAGTTGATTTGAGTATATTAACTTATAAGTGTTTGACCAAATAATATATTTTTGAAATATAACATATTGTATATAGATTTAAAACAAAACCGTTAAAACCTCAAAATTTACATAAAAATTATTATATTAACGTTATAATATTTTTAATATATTATTAAATCACTAATATATAAAATTTATATCTTAATAAATATAATTTTATTAACAAAATACCTACGCGTAACGTGAGCGCAAAATCTAGTTAAATATATAAAAATTCGTACAAAATGTCATCTCGAGATATATTCAAAATAATACAAATTTAGTCACCAATAATCTCTCGACACTTCGATAAATTGGTCAAAAAAAGAAGAAAAAAAAATCTCTCGACACTCGCTGATTACAATAGTAATTTTAATGTCTTCGATAAGAAAAAAGGTAGCAATTAGCAGAAAATAATAATACTAATCGCAATAAATTAATTTAAATTAATTGGTTAAATACTTAAATTAAATGCAGTGAAGGACTATTTTATTAATGTGCTAAAAAGTGTGAACACACTTAGAAAACAAAGAAGTAAGCAAACAAGTTTAAGCAAAGAAGCAAGCATTGGAATGAGAGAAGCAAACAATTAAAATAAACAGAATATCAAGAAGCAGAGAAGCAAACAAGGAAATAAAGAGAGAAATAAAAGAAGCAGAGAAACGAATAACGCACTAAATATGTATGTATGCATGCATGCATGTATGCATGAATGTATGTATGTATGAATGCATCCATGTATGATTGCATGTATGCATGTATGTATGCATGTAGGCAGGTATGCATGTAGGCATGTATGCATGTATGTAGGCATGTATGCATGTATGTAGGCATGTATGCATGTATGCATGTATGCATGTAGGCATGTATGCATGTATGCATGTATGCAATGTGTTTGAAAATTCAAGAGATCGATCGAATTCACTACCAAAGGACTTCAAGGATGATGTTGTTCGAACAATTGGTTTCTTGTTCCGGTTATTGGCTTTTCTATGTAACTTCAGTTGTCCTGTTTTCATAAAAAGATAACCTTAAACTGTAACAGCAAAATCGAAGACTGCATAGAGGAAAGAGATTGAAGAGATACCTGAGAGAAGGATTTAACTTAAGAAACTAGAAGATGGAACCATAGAGGTTATCACTCAAGCATTTTGATCTGCAAATAAGCGTATACATTATGTTCTTCTGGTTTAAGAACACATCTAGAGCTTACAAATTAATTACCTTCCACAAACTGGTTTCTTGTTCGGGTTCTTGGCTTTTCTCTGTAGCTTCAGTTGTCCTGTTTTCAGAGCTACAGATGGAGTGCTTTAAGCTACACTACAGAGTTCCAAAAGCAGCATACAAACGAAGGGACTCATCAGCCTACAAACGTGGATATAAAACATCACCACTTATGTCTCAAACGAATAGCCCTATGTATTAGAGACTTAGATATTGTTTTGAAATGAATAAAATGACAACTCACTCAGTAGTTTGTAGAGGCGTAGCGTAGCGTGTGTTATTCCGAGATGCAAGTTCTTCCAACAATTTTTTGCCATCACCACCGCCTAAGATGATAACGAACACACACATAAATCATTGAGAGACTGAGAGCTGATTATGCCTTCGAAAGTGAATTTTATATAACTTTATGGTTTCTAAGATAGGTTCACACTATCTTATAAATAGAGAATCGAGCCCCCGAACATTTTCTATTAAATTACCTTTTCCACAAATCCGTTATTTGCTCTTGCCTTTTCTCTATTACCTTATATGTCCTTTTTTCAGTGCTTTAAGCTGCAAATCATACCAACGACATACAAATGAGGGGGTTCAACATACTAGATGTATACAAAGACCCTAGAAATTAATTGACGAATTATCAGGTGTATGAAATATTGACTTGTTTAGTTCGATTGGCCTAACTATATAGTGTTCAAAACAAGTTTAAACGATGATACCTTCTTTGATTGGGTATGGTAACTCGGACTGCAAAACGCCCATTATGGAATAGAGTATATATCTGTAGTTCCTTCATGGGCTAGAGTGTCTCCTTCAACTCTTTTCACTTAAAAATGTTAGGAGTAATACAAATATTAGTTTTAAGCATATACTTATCGAAAATAACTTTAATACCTTTACGACTACACACGTCCATTTTCCCGGAAATGTTCAGAAATGACCTCACCATCACAACCACAGTTTGAACATATGAACAACACCTATGGAGAATAAACACACATATGGAGAATCATTAATAAATTCAGCTTGGATATGGGAATTTAAGTTGCTAACAAAAATGAAGTAGTGAAGAAGTACAGGAAACGGCTATTAACCATATGGCTATAATGATAAGATCCTTCGAGATGACATCATGCGTCCTTCACTCCTTCTTCTGAAACTTTTTATGAAATGAACTCACTATCACCACCACAGTTTGGACATGCAAACACCTAAGATGAGAAAGAACACATATATAGAATCAATAATATTTCCATCCTGGATATGAAAATCTCAGTTACTAGCAGAAATGAAATTGTGACGAACTATATATATATAATATATATTATATATGTATGTGGCAAGATCTTTCGAGATGAGCTCTTGCGTCCTTTTTCTGAAACTTTTCAAGGCACCACAGATTGGACATATGAACAAGTAACTCCGTATCCTTTCTAAAAATCTATGATAATTTGGTGTCCATTGTCAACATATTTTTATACTATTCACCTGTGGCCGATTATGAACTGATGATAATCCGATCCCTGTCTCTTATTTTATGAACCTATGACAAGCCATGTCTCCTATTTTAAGCTTCTCCCCTATAGCAAATACCTGAACAATATGAACGGCCAGATTAGATTAAAGGGTATCATTAATTTTACAATGCCTTGAAGTGTTTACGTTTCTCTGAGTGAATCGTTGTTTTCTACTAATAATTCTCGTTACCATGAATTACTTTCTTCCGTTTTTGCTTCCATTAAAGAGGTGATTGTTGCGTAGCGATTGTATTTAGAGCTTCGTGACAGGTTGCATTTGACGCATAGGAGCCAACTTATCGAGCAACCTGTCAACCCTCCACAGAGAGAGAGATAATCAGAAAAAAAAGCTCTGAAATATTGAGAAAAAGAAAGTTGATTTGCAAAGAACTCACCTTTTCACTCATTTATTGCTTTTTGCGTTCTCAAAGCCCCAATCATTTAATTTCTGGCGTTTTCTCTGCATTTGAGTGAATTAGATTAAGAAACATAAAATCTCCAAAGTGTAACACTCAAGTTTCTTAGAACCAAGTTTACAAGCAAATTCTTATGATACTCCGAAGTAAGCCACTAAATAGCATCGAAAAAGCATACTTTCTTATGGGCACAATCGTCTCATGATATAGGAAGTTCATGATCAAACGACTGCTGCGAAATGACCTGAAATGCGCATTCCCTGAATTCAATAGAAACACACACTTATCATCGAAATCCAACAGATAGAATTAATAAAATAAACCTTTATCTGAATTCGTTTCGTTTTCTATGACTGCAAATTCATTTAAAGACAAGTTAAGAGGTCATCACCAGTTTACTCTCAATACCTTATCTCGTTTAGTATAAGCATGACTGTGTAAGCAAGTGGTCATCACCAGTTTTGAGTTTTGAAAAAAGTTTTGGAGTCTCCATCTGTAATGTTTTCAAAAAGTACCCTAGAACTATCTAAAGAAATCCAGTTCGAGAGTTAGTTATTAGGATGAAAGTAAGGAACGTAGAACAAGTTCAATAGGTAAGGAAGTTATGCAAGCAAGAAAGCAGGAAATAAAAAAAAAAATATATATATATAATGAAGCAAGCAAGAAAGTAAACAAGGAATCAATGAAGCAAGTAAAATAGCACACAAGTACACAACTACGAAATGAATCACGGAAGAAATAAGAAAGCAAACGAGTACACAACTAAGCAAAGAATCAAGGACGAGATAAGAAAGCAAACAAGCACGAAAAAAGTAACCAAGGAAAGAAGCAAGCAAACACGCATGGAACCAAGGAAAGGGAGCAAAGAAGTAAACAACAAATCAAAGAAGCAAGTAACTTAGTGAGCAAGTATAAAATCAATCAAGCAGAAAATCACGGAAGCAAGCAATTATGCAAGTATGCAAGCATATGTGTATGAATTTACACATGTATGTATGTATGCATGAATGTATGAATGCATGTGTGTATGTATGCATGTATGTATGAATGAAGATGCATGAATGTATGTATGCATTCTTCAAGTCATTGAGAAGAACCCTTATAAGTTATTACATTCGTTGGTGTCACATTAGACTCTGAAAGCTGCAGAGGAAAACAGAGACCAAACAGAATAAAGGGACTTGTGTTAGTTCTGTATAACTAGAAACCAAAAATCCCAGAAGATAACATATGATGAAGAGTAGAAGATGAACAAATAATCGTAGTAGGTAACATTAATGACGAGATTATATATACCTTTTTTTCATATGGTGATTAATCATGAAACGGATCGGAGGCTGCGTCTTCCTCGGTCCAATCCTTGAAGATCGCACAGTTTTCTCTACAATTGATAAAAGAACAACGAAGAAGAAGCGAGAGTAAGATAGATTCAGGGTTTTTCGCCAATTTCAAGCCATTGGATGAAAAATCGAACGAATCTAATCAATGCCCAAGTTCGCATAACAATTTCGGTTTTTCAAATAGACATAGACTTCAGGTTTAAAGCAAATCATGAGTCAATGTTCATGTCTTTGATTGAAGAAAACGAGGGACGAATTGAGATATTTTAGAACCCTAAACCAAGCACATGATCGAGTGGAGAGGGGAGAAAAAAACGATTCAAGTGAAAACACCCAAAATCGCACAAAGAAAACTTCGAAAAACAAATTGTGATTCAAAAACGTACCGTTGACGATCGGAGAGATGATGAAGAAGACCCAAGCGACTCTCCTAGTCTCCTTTAACTTCCATAGCCATCCTTGAAGATCGCACAGTTTTCTCGACAATTGATAAAAGAACAACGAAGGTGAGAAGAAGTGAGAGTAAGATGGATTCAGGGTTTTTCGCCAATTTCAAGCCATTGGATGAAAAATCGAACGAATCTAATCAATGCCCAAGTTCGCATAACAATTTCGGTTTTCAAATAGCCATAGATTTTAGGCTTAAAGCAAATCATGAGTGAGTCAAGGATTTCATATCTTGCTATGTTCATGTCTTTGATTGAAGAAAACGAGGGACGAATTGCGATTTTTCAAAACCCTAAAAAAAGCACATGAACGAGTGAAGAGGGGGAAAAAACGACGAGAATTCAAAATCCGAAAACAAATTGTTATTCAAAAAACGTACAGTTGATGAACGGAGAGATGATGAAGAAGACCCAAGCGAATCTCTTCTTTTACTTCCATAGGCTAACTTTACAATTAATTAATGATTCCATTTCTGTTCCGTTAAATTATATATAGGATAGGAGTATAGCTTTCTATCTGTAAGTTTTCAAATTTCAAAAATTGGAATAGAAATGCAACAGCCCAAGACGGATAAAGCCCATTTCAGAAATTAAAAGATTAAATCAGTAACCGTACACAAAAATAAAACTAAACCAAAATATGTACTCTTTGATTCATCTCTTGTTCTAACTTTCTAATCTCGAAATCATCAATATGATGAAAAGCAGTATTCAAACTCGTTTCTTCTCCATTTTTTTTTTTGTGTTAAAAAATATAATAAATTAACATGGTGTATAAATACAAACATTACATGCCAAACCCCAAACAATCTGCATTAGTAAAATTTCCCGGAACATAATAAAATCGAGAAAAACACGGTAGCATTGATCCTCACAATCCTCACAATTTTTTTTTTTAACCATACTGCCTACTCTTGGACCAAAACCAAAGCAACCGCTCTAACATGTTGGCCTATTGTTCCTCAAACCGGAGATGGTTGTAAAGCGGACATTAATTTTATTAAGTTTAGGTGACTGTTTTAGTTTATGCATAAATTTGTGGGTTGATGCTATTTTATTTATTTTGTATGTTGGAAAAATGTATTGGACGATATTTTCCAACATTTGGGTAAATATAAATGCGTCTAGACTTTAAAGAAAGAAATCTTAACCTCAAAAGAAGAATACACTTCAATATCCCATCCCATTGGACAATAGTTGCCAATACATTGAGTATGAAAATTCCGAAAAAGAGTCACTAGACAACAATGCTCGAAGAAGCTATTTCTTCTCTTATTCCTTTTTTTTTTTTTTTTGGGATAATGGGTTTTAAAGTGCAAACTAATCCCTCTGCATGGACATCGATGGGAATTTGCAAAAAAACAAACCCTGAAAGTACTGAAAACTGAATCTTTAATCGCCTTAAAATAAACTTAAACCGAACCAGCCATTTATGATTTAAGGAGATGAAAAATATAAGACCAGTTCTTGAGCTGCCTGCTTGAATATTTCTCCAACCCCAACCATTTATGATTTAAGAAGATGAAAAATATAAGACCAGTTCTTGAGCTGCCTGCTTGAATATTTCCCCAACCCCAATTCCATCTCCCAGTAACTGATTCTCGTAACTCGGATTTACCTGTCTCATTACAAAAAGAACTATCGTAAATAATTAATATCACCAAATATCATATGGTAAAAATCTTATATGTATGTATATATATATATATATTTTTATACCTGTGCTTGGATCATATAGGTGCTACGGAAAACATTAGAGGAGACATTGGCAAACAAAACTTCAATGTTATACTTGTCAAACAAGTAACAAACGTTAGTGAAAACCTCTGGTTTGACTTTAGGGCAACACAAATTGAAGAAAGCTTCATTCCCGCAAATATTCAGCACGACGTTACGTGAGGACCAAATATCGAATGCAGCGATCGGGTCATTACAAGGGTAAGGCAGGTTCTTGCTGGAAGAAGATATCTGATCGGCCAAGAAAGCTTCACGAGAGTAAGACTCTGCTGCAGTGGTGCCTAGGGTAAGGATTTGGGGATGGTTTGATGATACTGGTGTGAGGAGAGTTGTAGGAGAAGAAGATGAAGATGGATCATATGGGAAATTACTAGTAGTAGGAGTTGTGTTTGAAGCAGAAGAATATTGAAGTTTCTCGAACTTTTTCATTTGCAGATTTTGTAAAGTTTGTTCAAGGGATTTGATCGAGCTCACTGCTTCGTCTACGATTGTTGATTTGTCTGCCTGTGGATCATAAATTAAAATATTAGAATATATATGTGATTTTTCATAACGTACGTAAGATATCCGACACATTAACACCCACGAAATAAATAATTAAAAAAAAAAGAGAGGAAAAAATGGGACAAAGACAAACAAGAACAAAGGAATCGAAAGCTTGACGGCTTTGCCAAATTACACCAAATTTAGGTGACAGATATTGGAAATATTTATTTATTTAAAACTAAAAGAAGTGAAACTACACCTGAAAAGGACGCATAAACAGTTATATAAATGAAAAATTAATACATAACAATCGTCGGAAAGAACGAAACATCTTCTGTGAACTCAGACCATCTATCTCCGATGAGGACGATGTAATTAATAGACAACAAAGAAAACAAAAACTAATAGATAACAAACGGAATGACGGTATTAAACAATAAAAATAAAAATAAAAAACGAAATGCGCAGATTCTTTCATTTCACATAAAATTTCCCTGTTTCAGTTGGAAAAGATTAAACCGTGAAATTTTTTTTTTATCAAATTCTATTTCCCGCATGAAATTGTGTGTTTGAGAAAAAAAATGTTTTCGGACAAAAAAGACATCCGCAAGTTTATACGATCGGTAGTTCATACACGATTAGCTATCCGCATGCGTATTACCAATCAAAACAAATGAAATTAATATTAAAAAAAAATTTTAGACGACTAACAGAAAATCATTGAATTAAATCATGTATGTTCTTAATTATAATAAATCGTTTACCTTAGGAGGAAGTTGAGGAAGCAAAGCATGTAGTTTAGAAAACATGTCTCTCATCTTCTTTCTCCTTTCTCTCTCAGTCCATATATGTATTTCATGATCAGGAGATTCTTCTACATGATTTTTATCATTTCTTTTTGTCCTTTTTTTTCCTTTTGCAATTTTCTTATCCATCGAAATCGAAATTTCCAACGGATGAGAAAGTTGCAAGGAAGGCTGTTGCTTCTCCATTTTTTTGCAGCCGCCTCCGGAATCATCAGAACTGGATATGCCCCACACAAACCCCTCTTGCCCCAACTCTTGAGCATTAGTCATATTGAATTGAATGCTCATTTTACCCTTTTAGCTTTGTTGTATTTATTGTGCTTTTATGAATGTTGTATGAAAAGAGAGAGAGAGATAGAATATCAAACGAGGCGTTTAAAGATGGTGCAAGAAAGAGAAATAGGAGAAGAGATATATAAAGAGTTAAGTGAACTCATATATAGGAAAAGCCCAAAATACAATCATAAGGCGAGGCCGTTACTAAGACATCAAAATCAAAAAGGATATTGTATGTTCAAAAAAACTTTTTCCTTTTTGCCTTTTCATGAAGTTCTTAAGGAAAAAAAAAAACCCCAACTAATTCTAATAAAAAGTTCTTTATACGACCAAAATATCCTTATTGCCGGTCACCGGTGAATTACTTGAGTAAAAAAAAGATACATAGAAACTCCTGTGTAATTTGGTGATATCAATAGTTAAATCAGTTATTTACAATTTCTCTCCATCCACTACCATCAAAATCTATGGATGATCTCAAAGAACCGGTCCTTGAAGATATACTCTAACTTTACATGCTTTGCGATGAAAAATAAAAGATGCTCTGTATTAACGTTCAACGTACTTTTACACATATTTACACAACTATGACAATACGTTTCTTTGAATGAAAAACAATTAACGTAGAAGACAATTGATTTGCGATTAACTATCAAACATACTCATCATTATGCCACCACATCCTGATTTGTCTTTAGCATATTTAGTTCCCAACGTTCGAATTATTTTATAGAACATTTTAGTTAATCAGAATAACAGTTGTATGTGAAGTGTATCTTATAAAACGTCTAAAGGAATATATTATACATATTCCAATATATGAGAACTCATTTGTTTTTATTTTTCATTGGAAACGCCGATGAAACAAAAAAAAATTAAAATTCAAAAAATAAATATTGAAGTTTTTATTAATTCCAATTTTCCAGTCTTTATCAGAAAAATTTTCAATTTTTTTTTTTGTAAATATTTTAAAAGCTATTCACCATGGTTATCATTCTTACAATATACCACCCGGCCTCCTTTTTTATTCAAAAATACTGGAAACGTTTATAGAAAATAAAATTTAGACTGGATATGTTTTACTTTTTAAGAAATTCTTTATATAGATATTCATAGTTTTGTATTGTTACTTCCCTTATTCTATTATTAATATTTAATTTCTCCTTTTATATTATTAATTATGTTAAATTTTTTAAAAAATATTTCCGTAATTTCTCCCTAAAAATTAAATTAAATTATTATTATAATCATTTTATCATTAATTTTATTACAATGAGAAATTGAAATTCATTTACAATCTAAATTATAGTTATCTCTTTTTTTTGTTAAGAGTATTTATAATTATATCATTTATGTTATAATTTTTAGCCATTTAATATTTTCAAAGCTGTTTGACACATGTCATACTATTGAAAATATTCATTTTAAATACATAAAAACATACGTTACATTCATCTTAGAAACTTTCTCTTTCCGCGTTGCATCTAACATGGTAACATTTTAAACTGTGTTGAATGGCATTTCAAAATTTAACATACATAATAAAATATTCCCAATATTATTAAGTGGGCGTAATTGAGTTTGGTTAAAAAAAATATGGCGATGGAAAGCCAAATTATTATTTTTTATTAATGTTATTGCATTGTAAGTTAATATACTGAGAGAGCAACTGAAATCTAAGCCAGAAAATTTAATCACTTAAATATATATATATATATATATATATATATATATTTCTAACTAAAATCTCAAATAAAATGTGAAAACGATATTGATAATTTGAGTACTATTAAAATAGTATCAAATTCACCATAAAATGACTAACATTTGCACAAACCATAGTACTATCAGAAAATAAACTAGAATTTACTAGACTTAATTTTAACTAATCACTCAAATTATTTGGGTGATGTATTGAAGAACCATTTTAAAAATACAGATATGCCAAACATAAATAACAATGTTACAATTTAAAAGTCAGTATCTCACAGTCTCACTAATCAGTGATCTCCCGTTTGATTAATATGAGCTATCTCAACAACAACAAAAAAAAACTAGAAGTTGTTGTTAGTCTGATTTAAAAAGAATAAAAAGGTGATATTAGGATCCTTAATTAACTTGTGATTATCTTAACTGTCTAATAATTGTGGAGTGGTAAAAGTGAGCGTTATCTTTATGGTTATCAGTGCATACAATCATTGATTACCAGAGATTGAAGTGTCCCTTTTTTTCTTTTTAAGTAAATAAAGAGAAGAAAAGACACTTTTTGAATTAAATTAAAATTGTCTGAATCCGTTCATATTTACTAGTTTTTGAATTTATTCCTATCAATATCAAATGTAAAAAAATTGGATTTTTTAGTAAATTTTGACATATATAAGAAAAAATTGGATAACTCTTATGTTAGGTAACGTGGCAATCATTCACACATCACAACTCACGGTCCAATATCTTAGCGATCGAAAAGGAAAAATTAACCGTTAAGAATAATTTTTGATTAATGGAAGAATTTAAGAGTCATTATTAAATAAATTTTCCACATTTGTTTATCAGAAATTTTGTATTAAATCTTCAATGTATAGGAGGAAACCACAAAAATGCATTGATAATTTAAAAATATTCAAAATAAACTATCAAAGGAAAAATTATTATTAATGGTTTTCAAATATATACTGTAATTTATTTTCTTATTCCTATTTTATGTTTATTATTATTTTTATAATTAACTCTACTTTTTTTTCCTTTTCCGTTCAGTAACTTTAGGATTAGAACTCGAATGTAAATTTTTTTCTTTTTTGTTAATATTATGTAGAATATAATTTTCTTCCTTTTGTTGTTAGTATGTGGTAGAAACTAATTAAAAAAAAATTACACATATCAAACCATATAATAAGCTTTCTTAAAAAACTATATTTATAATACTTGAAATTTATTGTTTCTTGCAATGAGGATTTTTAATAATTTGATGATTCAAAATGATAAGCAAAACAATACATTTACTCGAAAATTGTCAAGACGATGTCAAAAAAAATAATTCTCCAAAACAATTATATAATTTTTTTTTTTCAGAAGTCGAATGATTTCAATCGAAGTATATATTTTCGTTGTAAATTGTTATTGTATTTTGTAAAGGTCTCTCCAACTGAATCTCCTTTAACTCCTCTTCTTGTAAATGGGTTAACATATAAGCCCTTATCTTTTGCTGAGTTTTATGACTTTGATCATCAAATACTTCTAAACCAAACGTTTTATGCTGAGTGAAGAAGCTTAAAACTCTTGGACAAAAGCCAAACAAGACTTGTGCAATGAGCATTTTGTAGATAAAAAGGTGAGAGAAACGATCCAAAACTTCCCAAAGTATTAAGATCAAAAACACAGAAGGAAAATGCTAAAACTCTCTCGCCAAAAACAATAGCTCAAAATCCAAAACTTTCAAGAACCAACTCTTTGTTTCTGATTCTCAAAAGGACAAAATAAACACTAATGAGGTGGATATAAACTGAGCTCTTCAGATATTCAACTCAAGGAACGATGTTGTCTCCAAGAGACAGAGAAGATAACTGATCAGCTGCACCACCAGCTTGCTGCTGCTGAGCTACACTCCTCAGAACATCCATTGCCTCTGCAACTTTGGCTTTAAGTGCATCAGGAGATTCCAGCAAGTGAAGTACTTCGGTTTGGTCCATCTCGAGAAGCATTCCCGTGACTTTAGCTGCTGATTCTGGCTCAAGCTGCTCCACAAGCGGGTATAGATTCTCACCAAGCATCTGTGGAGAAAAAAAAAAAAAAGGGAACAGCTTAAGTTAAACAAATTTGTCTCTGTGTTTTCACCATTAATAATTAAACTAAACAACATTTTTTAATTTTACCGTTCTCTGATGCTCTGGAGCTGCATTTGCGAGCGATGTAGCCAAAGCTCCAATAGGAACAGGTTGACCAGCAGGTGAATCACGAAGATGCCCACCACCAGCGCCACCAGACACGTCATATGGGACAGAAAGCATGTTTGGAGTAAGACCAGGCATTGTGTTTACATCTCTCTGTGGATACCGATACATTCTACCTCTTGGATGCATCTGGAGAAAACGCAGATGGAGGCAAAAGGTAAGAATGCTAATGATTTCCAAAGCGACAATTGCTGCAAACAATACTTAACCTGCTGAGGCTGCATCATAGAAGGTTGCTGTGGTTGTGGAAGAGCTCCTCCTCTTCTACCACCACCAGGCCGTTGCTGCTGCTGTTGTTGCTGCTGTTGTTGTTGTTGCTGGCCTTGTTGCATCATAGGCATGAAGAAGTTTGGCATTGGGGATCCACCAGGTCTCATACCCGGAACAAGCTGTTGTTGATACCCGTATCCAGGCTGTTTCGATATCCCATTGGAGAAGAAGAGTTATGAGATTGGTTCCACATGTTTTTGCTAAAAGCTTTGAGCTTTACCTGAGGAGGAATCATAGCAGGAGGTCCTTGACCATAGAAGAGTTGTTGACCCATTGGTGGAGCACCTGGTGGGTACATTGGCATTCTAGGACCAACCGCAGGTGGCATATTAACTGGCCTCATCTGTGAAAATTGGGCCTAAAATGCAAGATAGGGAAAAACTATGTACGATGATAACAAAAAGGATTACGTCAAGCCTTGATTGAAGTTAAACACGGGATTAAGTTAACCAGACCTGTAACCTAGCTTTGCGGTCTTCTTTCCGCTGAGCAAGAGCAACATATAGAGGTTTTGTAACAATCATTTTTCCATTCATCTCCGCAATCTGAAAAGAAGACAGTTTTAAGCAAAGAGATTCTCTTCAAAGAAAATGGGATCAATCAAAACTCGACATACTCTTTTTTTATATTGTTGTCACTTACAGCTCTTGTTGCTTCCTCGGGAGTTGAAAATGCGACAAAACCAGATCCTCTGCTTACTCCACTAGGATCACGCATCACCTGTGTCACATTCAATGTAATATCTTGTAATCTAAAACTGCTGAAGATAAAAACAAGCAGCGGTTTTATTGTGTCAGTCACAGACCTTGCATGACGTAATAGTTCCAAAGGCAGTAAAATGTTCTCTGAGCTTCTCATCAGTGACACTTTCATCCAAGTTCTTAACATACAAGTTCGACCCCTGAGACTTGTCTGCAGCCTCCTTTAAACTTTGCTCAAACTTTTGTTTGAGTTCGGTTTCCCTCTCGGACTTCTTCTGGGCTTTCCCAACAAACCACTCCTTATCGTCAAAGGTCTTTCCATTCAGAGCCTCAACAGCTCTGGCTGCATCATCCGAACTCTCAAAATTGACAAATCCAAAGCCTTTAGACTTGCCTTCACCATCTCTCATGATAACGCAACTAGTCGTTGATCCAAACTCTCCAAAAACTTTGTTCAGCTCTTCATCAGTCAAGGACTCAGAGAGATTTTTGACATAGACATTGTTAAACTTCACCTTCTCACCCGAAGGATCTCTCTGCTGCTTGTGGACAAAGGGTCCAACATATACTTGCTTATCGTTAAGAAGCATTCCATTCAATTTCTCTATGGCTCTCTGAGCTGCTTCTTCAGTGTCATACTGTACAAAACCATAGCCTTTCGACTGGCCAGAAGGATCAACAGCCACTTTGCAAGACAGAATGGGACCAAATGCAGAAAATGTCTCGTGGAGTGCTTTGTGATCGATTGCTCTGTCAAGATTCTGAGACATGGATAAACAAATTCAAACAAGACATCGATATAAACAGACTTTGGGATAGGAAACTAAACTAGACAAGATTTCTTTCCAACACTGCACAGAAGTTCAAATATGGGGAATGAGGAAAGGAGATTTCAATTCTCTACCTTAATAAATATATTACCAACTCCGCTTTTACGGAGACTTGGATCACGAACAGAGTACATAACTCTAATAGCCCTTCCATTGAGTGCCATGAAATTCAGCTCATTCAGTGCCCTGGACGCTGTCACCAACCAGGGATATAATGAGAATGATTTTAACATTGAAAGAACATACATTTCTGTAAGAAATAAAGTCATTGAATCTACTTATGGATTTGGTGCAGCTCTCAACCTAAATTCTACTAAGTACTTCCGCAATTTCCAAACCAATCCTTAAAAGATGAGCAATACCACAATCTTGAGCAATGATGTGTTTAATAAATCGACTTATGAGCCAAGTCATATAATGATAACAAAAATGCCACAACGTAGTCACCCCTCACACAAGACAAAAGCCTATTATGTGATCAGATGTAACTACTCTCCAAATTAACCTTAAATCCTTTACCTTTTTAATCTAAATTTTCCTAATTTAGATTATCATATCATCTCACTATGCTAGATCCTCCAAGAAGGATCTCACAAAAATACATATCTATGTATGCAAATTCGTTTAACAGAGACAAGTTTTAACTCAACCCCCAATTCAATTACGTAGCTACAACGATTTAAATCCAAAACCAGGATAAAACGAGAAACCCTTCAGAAAGTTACCATCTTGAGGAGTGGCATAGTTAACGTATCCATAGCCAAGAGATCTCCGAGTCGTCATGTCTCTACAAACACGAACAGAAACCACCTGACCCGCTTGGCTAAACGCCTCAAACAGCTGTGAATCCGTCACGGTCTGGTCTAGATCGCCGACATAAAGAGACGTCGTCCCTTGCTGAGCCGCTCCGGCCGCTGCAGCCGCAGCCGCCGCAGCAGCACCAGAAACCGCCACTCCGCCGTTGGCATTTTGACCCTGATGCTGAATCTGAGCCATTTTTTCAAGAAATTACTCTAAATTTCCTGTCTATCTTCTCTCTGAATCAGCTCAATCAAACTGTATAGGAGGATACGAAAATCAAATATTTTTCAAATGAATGAAATTCTCAAACACCGGAAAATAAAAATTGGGTCTTTTTTCCGAATGAAGAAGGAAAATCGAAAGTAACCGGCGGTGAGAGTTTGCAGTTTTGAGCCTGATAAAAGGGTCGGAGGAAGTGACCTTATCAGAGAGAAAGCTCAAATGGCAAAAAAAAAACTGCAAAGAGGAAAGACTACTTTGAGGTTTCTGTGTTTATATATGGAAGGTGTCACCAAACCCTAAAAGCTCTTATGGAATTGAGAAATCTCAGCCGTTGGATTTTAGTTTTTCTTGTGTGTGTGTCGTCTATTGGGTCCCACTTGGATGATATTAGGAAATATCTGTTGATGCTTATTTCCTTCATTTTCCGGCGTAAGCATTTTTTTTTGTTGTGATTTGTGAAATACAAATGTGATTTCCTTTGCGCAAGTAAAAAGTAAAATTGATCTGTGTTCTGCAATAATAATATGTATCTAAGTGATAATAAAATGGTACATTGTTGGTTTTTTTTAAAATAAAAAAAGATATATTGTTCACTGTTCAGACATATTTAATTATCTACACAACATGTAATGGAAATACGATTTCAATAATAAACATGAACCTTTTTTTAGCTTGTGTATTTCGAAAAAATCGAAATTTCTTTTTTATTCAGCTGTAGTTCATAATTATTTTGTTGCAAATTTCAGATCTTTAGTGTTTATTTTGTTTTCTTTTCCATCTCGAATTTTGTTTCGGACCGAACATTACATCTTGAGTTTCATACCTTTTGTCGGATATTGAATATTGGAGAGTTGCCAAGAAAAAGATATTGGACTCGAAAATTTTACATTTAGACCTTCGAACCCGAAAAGGATTAGTGATTACCATCGTTATAATGAACTCCTTAACGGTTTGGTTTGCCACTCTTATTCCCTTTGGTTTTAAGTTCTGTCTTTTATTTCTTTTGATCCTTAACTTTGTTCCTCTTCTCCTACTTAATTCGATAATATTCATGCCTTAGCTACATTTTATTATAAACAATTTTTTTTGTTGCAAGAAAAGTTTCACACAATAAAAAAAGTGACAATATCACTAAACCAAAAAAAAAATTGATAAATATTGTAGCATCGCATCGACGATCTACTTATTCTATAGGTTACTGTTATTAATCTAGAAATTTAACAATAAAATAATTCATAAAAAAAAACTATTTGATACATTTTATTTGGCACAAAAAGCTACATCTTAATTTGATACTCTTAATTTCGGGAATAAAAAACTGAGTACGCGGCTGAAAAGCCATAAGACACGAAAAAGTTGGCTGAAAAGTCATGTGTCTAAAAATTAATTTCTTTTTTTAATTAATTTTATTAACAGAAACCTTGGAAAGTATACCATTATCCTTATATGTCTCTATAATCACGAAAATACCAGAATAAAACCCACCCGTTTTATGCCCGACCCGAATACCCCAAAAATGGACTTTTTAAAAAAAAAAAAAAACTTATTCAATTTGAAATCAGAAAATAGAAAATTAAAATTGTTAAACCGAAAATTGGGTAAACGAAACCGAACCGAGTGGATTTAATTTTGAAAACCAAACAAATTTGATAAACTTAAAACCGAAAATCAAACTTTCTCCTCCTCATTTCTCTCTTCATCTTCCCCGAACGGCTATCTCCACTTCCTTCTCTCTTCCGAAAATTCTGCAACTTCCCCCTTGAAACGACACTTGATTTTGTAACTGCTTCTTCTTCAACTTCCCCTTCTTCAACTGCCCGTACTATTTATCACATAATTTAGCCTTCGAACTTCATCAAGACAAACCCTAAATCTACCCTAACTCAATGGCTAAAATTTGACTAAAGGGCGTGGTATATGATTCGAACGAATCTGTACCCAAGCGCAGCGAAGAAGCAGATATGGAAGATAAAGACCCCGGAATAACACCAAACCCTCCGGCGAATGATGAAGAAACAACCCATGAAGAAACTCGGGGTGAAGAAGAATCATTGATGGAAGCAGACCCAGCCGGTACGGAAACCACCAAAGAAGCCCCTGAAGCTGCACCAACACCCATGGACGAGGGTGCGACCGATCAACCAGAGGAGCGGTTGAAATCTCGTGAAGAACGTGAGAAAGAGGGTTTAGCGGATACAGTAGCCGAGGAAGAGGGTGTGGTAGAATCCCAGAAAGAAGGCGAGGGAGATGTATCTGAGGATGAGTCTTCAGGAAGAGAAGGCGAGGAAGAGAAATCAGAGAAAGAAGCCGAGGAAGAGGAATCCAAGAAGGAAACAGGAGAAGAGGAAGTCGAGGATGAGCAATCCAAGAAAGATAGTGGAGAAGAGGAATCCGAGAAAGAAGCAGACGAAGAGGGAGGGGGGACACCCGAGAAAGACGACGAATGAGAAGGAGAGGAAGGAAATGAAGAGGAAGAAAATGCAGCGGACGAAGAGGATAGCGAAGAGGCAGATGAAGATTTAGAGGTAAGTATACTATAAACGAAATTAAGAGGCAGATGAAGATTTAGAGGTAAGTATACTATAAACGAAATTAAGTTTGGTCGTTGGACAACTAGGACAACTAGGATAACTATTTGAACGAAATTATGTTTGGCATTTGGACAACTGGGACAACTAGGATAACTGTGTCTGATGAAATTACGTTTAGCATTTGGACAACTGGGACAACTGGGATAACAGTGTCTGATGAAATTATGTTTGGTCGTTGGACAACTAGGACAACTAGGATAATTTTTTCACGAAATTATGTTTGGCATTTGGACAACTGGGACAACTGGGATAACTGTGTCTGATGAAATTATGTTTGGTCGTTGGACAATTAGGACAACTAGGATAACTATTTGCACGAATTATGTTTGGCATTTGGACAACTGGGATAACTGGGACAACTAAATCTCATATGATTGTGTTTCTTGTTTTTATCTCAGGATGCCGATGATGGTAGTCAACCGATGGTGCCTGAGAAGCTTTACTTTGGTCCAACCGAGTACAGCTAAGGTTGTAGGATATTGACAAGGTGCTCAGTTAGAGCTGTTGTGGACAAGATTGATAAGCTTGATGAGGAGAAAGCATGGTTCAGAGCGCATCCTCAATTTAAGCACATTTTTCACATGTTCAAGGAGCCCAACCACATAAATCAAGAGTTGTGGATGCTTCGCCTTCACACTGCTCATACTGATAGGCTTAGTGAGTGCTGGTTTGTTGTTAACGGAGTTCCGATAAGATATTCTCTCAGAGAGCATGCGCTTTTGAGTGGACTTAACTGTCGTGATTACCCGGCTGACTACAACAATTTGGGGAACACAAATTTTGTTAAGAAGCACTTTGGTAGGGCGGATAAAATTAAGATTGGGGAGGTGGAAGAAAAATTAAATGAAATGAAGGAGCTCTCTGTGGACAGGAAGAAAATGGCCCTCCTCTGGTTTTTATGCAAGGTAGTAAAGGCGAAATACAAGACTGATGGTAACATTGATCCGTTTTTGCTCAGAGTTGTCAGTGATTTGAATGTGTGTAAATCATTCCCTTGGGGGCGTTACACATTCGATGACATGATGAAGGAGATTCGGTGTGTGATGGCAAAGTTTAATGGCATCATAAAAGACAAAAAAACAGAATGTCCCTTGTCTGGTTTCATTCTTCCTCTACAGGTAATTCTCATTCAATAGTTTATAGAAGTTAGTTTATTTACATAATTTAGGGTTTAATTTTTTGACTTTTTGTGTAGATACTTGCTTTTGAGTGTATTCCTAGCCTTGACCGCAAATTTCGAGAAGCCGTACCTGCAGTGAAAGACTGTCCGAGGATGTGCAAGTACAAGTTCACCGATGTATGCATGAAAGGCATTCCATTGGATGATATAAACTCAGCAATTGGAACAAGTTCAAAGGTTAGTATTTGATGAGTTTGGTTATTGGACAATAGGGTACAACTATGTTTGACTTGTTGGTAGTGGTATTAGGACAACTGGTACAACTATGCAGTATTAAAGATTATTGGTCGTGGGACAATTAGGACAACTGGTACAACTATGCAATATTAAAGATTATTGGTCGTGGGACAATTAGGACAACTGGTACAACTATGCAATATTAAAGATTATTGGTCGTGGGACAATTAGGACAACTGGTACAACTATGCAATATTAAAGATTATTGGTCGTGAGACAATTAGGACAACTGGTACAACTATGCAATATTAAAGATTATTGGTCGTGGGACAATTAGGACAACTGATACAACTATCCAATATTAAAGATTATTGGTCGTGGGACAATTAGGACAACTGGTACAACTATATTTCTTTTATTTTGGTTTGTCACTTATTTGTTTTTTTTGGGGCCAGGACATTCATAGCATCTTGAAGCCTGCAGACTCGGGTGAAGAAAAACTATTGAGTCGGATATTAGATCATGGCTATGATGATGGGATATGACTCATTGATGTAGATGTTGAGGAATGGATGCATCATCTCACGGTGAAGAAGAAGAAGATCTTCTGGAGATCTTTGTATGAGTTAGACATTCAACATCGTTGTTGGAGCTGAGGGCTACCATTGGTCTGTTGGAAAAAAGAGTGGCGACGCTTGAGCAGTTAGTCCTTCACCAATCCTCTGTACCACCCGCATCTTCACCAGTTGGCACCCGTCAACCACCACCCGTGTCCTCACCAGTCTCCTCTCATCCACCCGCAGGTGGCTCCCATCAACCAGGTGCATCACCTCCTACCCTAAACTCGTCGTACTCTTTATTGGATCGTGTGGAGGTGTTGTAGCGTGATGTCTGGCATCAAGGGATAGTGAGGGCAATTGTGGCGAAAAACCGTTACAAGGTTAAGCTGGTTGACACATCGGAGGAAGTTAAGTTCATGTATTGGGATGTTCGGCCATCAACTGCACCACCACCTGCATCCGCCTCAACACGCGCAGCACCACCAGAAGCATCCTCCTCAAAAGCCGGTAGAGGTAGAGGTAGAACTAAGAGGCCCAGGAAAAAGTCACAGTACAAGAAGTCGCCTTATACTTCTGCGGGAAAAAACAAGAAAACCAAGAAGTAGAATGTCTTGTTTATGTTTAAGATTATGTGTTTTTCTTTGTGGTACAACCTTATATTTTCTGTTTTATTAGGACAACTGGTACAACTTAATGCGATATATTAGGACAACTGGTACAATTTCCTTGTTTTATTAGGACAACTGGTACAACTGGTACAATTTCCTTGTTTTATTAAAGACAACTGGTACAACTTCAGTTGTTTTTTCAGGACAACTGGTACAACTGCGTAGTTTTATTTAGGAGAAATAGTTCAAAATAAAACAAAGGAGAGTAGCAACATAACATGGGGAAAAAAAGGTAAATAAGAAACTGAAAAACTCATCTTCGTCATCCTTAACTCTTTTTTATAGCTTCCTCAAGGAGAAAACGGTGTCAAACAAAGTCCGCATGGCTTCTTGAGTATCATTGAGCATTTCAATCTCTTCAAGTATTGCGACATCCCACCATTTCTTGAAGCCACAACTAGAAACCTGAAAACACGAAAAAATTCAGATGATACTCAATTTATAAATCGAAATTAACACCCAATTGACTTACTTCTGGGATTTTTTTTGGCCCACAACAGCCGTAGAAGCAACCGTAATATTTCCGGCCCCTGTCCAGCGCGGAGTTGTCAGTTAAACACCCAATTGGAGCTAAGCCACAATAACAAACCTTTGGAATTCCCTTTTGTACAGGGCATGGCAGAATGGTCCTGACTCCATTGACTTCGGGTCCCCATCTAGTGGTCATCCTGTAATCCTTCTTAGGCAAGACAAAAGAAGAACCATCATTCTTCTTTTCAGCCAATTTTGCGAGGGCTTTCTGATATTTATCCATGATGCGGCGGAAACCCTAAAAAACCTAATTGGGGAAAAAATTGGAAAGGGAATAATAGGAGAAGAATCCTTTGACCCTTTTCTATGAAAGAGAAAACGGTAAACGACCACCAAAAAGAAAAGTAAAGAGGAAAATAACATTTAATATTATCCTCAGCCGCCATTGTCACACGTGCATTTTCTGGTGACATCATAGTTGTACCTAGTTTTCCGGTTGTCCCAAAATTGTCATAGTTGTCATTTGGTTGATTTTTAAGTTTTTTCAGTTGTCTTTTATCAAGAATTCTGTTTTTTTAGTTGTCCCTTCAAGCCTTGAACATTTTATACCTGCCCCAAGGGTTTCACGCCCATCTTTTTATCTTTTCCATATTTTTACGTTTAGCCTCTTATAAGATGGAAACCATTGTCAAAGAATGCCTTATACCATAAGGGTTATTTCATTAGAAACACAAATGATATATCTTATTCTCAGAAAATAATAAGTTTATCGTAGTCGTTGAGTATATAGTAGTTAAGGTATAGGGCTGTATTTGTTTAGTGTTTAGTAATTTAAAGAAATTAGTTTGTCCTGGTTATCATAGTTATCCTAGTTGTCATAGTTGCCCTATTTGTCATAGTTGTCCTAGTTGTCCTAGTTGCCCTATTTGTCATAGTTGTCCTAGTTGTCCTAGTTGCACCTACTTGTCCTAATTGTCATAGTTGTCCTAGTTGTCCTAGTTGTCCTAGTTTTCATAGTTGTCCCAATTGTACCAATTGTCCACTTTGTACCTACTTGTATTAGTTGCCCTAGTTGTCCTAGTTGTACGTAGTTTGCCTGGGTTTAGGACGTAGTTGCATCTAATTGCACCTAATTGCACCTAGTTGCCCTGTTGACATTCTCCAAATCCAAAAAATTCAAAATACAAATTACTCCAAAATACATAGTATTGCAAGAAATCCAAGATAATGAAAATACAAATGAACTCCAAAATATTCCTTAGACCTAGCTCTGACCGCTCTGACCCTCTTCACCCTCTTCACCCTCTTCTTCCCTTGGGTTTAGTGGTTGAAACCAATGGCCAATGTTTGTGTTTGGGTTGGCCTTCTGACTCCTGCGAGCTTCTCCGGTGGAAGGAAACCGCTTCTCCTTCTTTCTTCCTGCTTTTTTGGTGTAGTCTGGTGCGTAAACAACTAATTAGCAACCTCCTCAGAAATAATCCAAGTAGAATGATGTGGCACCATATAGATGGTTCTGTGGTAAGCCATCGCCTAAGTATCAATCAAGTAGTATCTCAGGCATAAATCAAAAATGTGTAAGTCTCTTCTTCTTGAGGACGTCTGCATCATTGCAATGGTTGCGGCTATTGCATGAACACATGGAATCTTATCAATATCAAACATGCGACACCCACAGCTTTTTGTATCCAAATTAACCAGATAGCTCTTCCCATCAACTCCAACTACACTGTATTCAAGCCCAGGTAGATTTAGCTCAGTCACATCTAATTTGGTCGCAATTGCACATTGTTTATGCAATTCGTTTTCCACAAACGGCACCAGTTTCTTCGAATATGATGCACCAGCTATGTTATTCCTATACCTGTTGAACCATTCAGACACTTTCTCAACATACGCATCAATCAAAGGCAATAGTGCGTACTTTCTCGCCTTCTTGAAGACGCTGTTCATTGATTCACAGGCATTGCTTGTGTCCAAGTTGTACTTGTCTCCTTTAAAATTCCACCGTGCCCATTTTTCAAGAGGAAGACCATTCTATAAGTACTCCGCAGCTTTGGGAAACATTCTACCAAATTCGGTGTATGCAATTAGGAACTCACTTTCGGTGTACTTATGAGCGCACTCAATGAATTTTTTAGAACACAAATCCTTCCAACCATTGGCTGCTTTAACCCTCACATTACGAGACAAGTGCCACACAGAAAATCCATGCTGAGACTGAGGGTACACCTCCTGCACTGCCTTCGCTATGCTTGTGTGTCTGTCACTCATAAAAACAATCTCAGGATTATCTGGTATAACAGTTTTGAGCATTTCTAAAAACCACCTCCAACTAGAGTCTTTCTCACTATCGATTACATCCATTGCAATGGGGTAATGGTGATGATTAGGATCCTGAGCCGTGGCAAATAC